CACGAGAACCCCCCCCCCCCCCCCTTTGTATTTACTTCCATACGTTGGTACCGTGTCACTCGCACGAGTGGCTGCTCCGATCTTTTTTTCATCCGCCCGATCGCAACCCCTTTCTCTCTTACTCTCGTTGCGTCCGAGCGCTGGCCGTCTTCTGTTCGATCGTCACGACTGACTTCATTGTCCCTCCCTTGTCACAGAATTTTATTATTTTTAACTGTGGACACACCTATCTCCCTTTTCTTCATACAGGAATGGCTGCGTTGGCCGTACGCCTCCGAGCTGCCTGGATCGCACACGGTGGCGATCGCGGCGGTAGACGAGGCTGGCAACGTGGACCCCGAGCCGGCGGTGTGGACGTGGTCCGTAGACGCGCGGCCAAGGACGTCCCTCACCAGCGCCCCACAGGTAGTCCAGACAGACGGATCATACTTCTACCCTTTACTTGGGGTAGTTTCTGAGGATGTGAATCAGGTTTTTTCGTTTTGAGGGGTCTTGGCGACCGGGGGGGGGGAGGGCTTCCTTGGGCTTGGGGTTGTTGTTTTTGACGATTTTTTCATTTTAGAAAGTATTCATGACCTCACAGAAAAGGCTACCCGTTCGAGATACATGTAACACGAGTCGAAAGGGATGTGCTGGAGTCTTTTCAGTGAGTGGAGGGAAACCGTCTGGGACCTGGCCTTATTTTGAGTTTGTTTAACCCTATGCACTGAATTGTACCAGTAACACCACCTGGTGCTTTGGTTTTGTCCGTCGAGGTTGGGTATGTAGCAAGCTCGTTTTGTGGGACAAGGTTTTCGTGGTCACATCGGTTTTGAATCGACACGGTGTGTACTGTAGGCTATTGCAGTACTGCCGAAGGGTGACCAAGGAATACAAGTTTTTTTGTGTACGCGTGTGTGCTAGGGTTGAGAGGTTGAAGGCTCAGGCGTGGAGGATCATTGTAACATTGTTCCCGTACGAGTGACAGTACAACCAAGGGAGGGGCAAACGTTGGTGCGGACCACCACTGTAATAGCCGGATGATCGAACCTCCGCGTAAGTGACATCGAATTTGTGTATCGCGCGGGAAGTACGTTGGATGATGGCTCTCCTCCGCAGCTTTCCCCCACTATCGTACGTAGGTCATGCGTGGCGTGGCTTCTTGCCGTACCGCTTGCTCTCGGTACCCGTGGATTCTCGGGGTTTCGTGTTTTGCACTCATCCCCCCCCCCTTCCGTGGGCCATAGCCCATTATCTCCTTGTAGCAACACACACGCTCTCCGGCCTACAGCAGCAGTAGTGCTACTGGTGAACCCGTGTTTTGGTTGTGCATGGTCTCTCCAAGCCTACAACGATGTGAAACCAAATCGTACAGCAGAGGCAGTATCGTAGTACTGTAGTGCTTGGTATTTTTTTACCCGTGTTTTGGTGTATGCCACACTCACGTACGCCGCGCCCACACGCTGCTCAACCCCCGTCACCTCCATCAGGCGGTGACGGCCGTGGACACGGCTTTTTTCTCGTTCGCGTGCGCGCTCCCGGAGTCGGAGGCGACGCCTTCCCCCTCCTCGGGAGTAAACCCCCTCTCGAGCAGCGACAACGAGGATAGCATCCGAAGCGCTACTAGCGGCGGCGAGAACGGCGACGATGAAACCGTCCTTGAGATAGCGCCCGCACCAGCAGCCGATGACGACGAAGCAGAGGCAGAGGTGGACGAAAACAACGAGACCGCGGTCGACGACGGCAGCGTGTGGGAGGTCCACGAGGGCGGGGCGTGTGTCTTCTTCTTCTCGCTGGACGGCGGCAACTACTCGGCGGTGGAGCCGGCGGCTGCGGCGGCGGCAGCGGCGGCGGGGGAACCCTCGTCCATGTCGTCGTCGTCGTCGTCGTCGTCATCGTCGTCGGTGGTGCCGAGCAGTAACACGCTGCTGTTGACGGGGCTAGCCGACGGGGCGCACGAGCTTAGGTGAGGCGTGGGAGAGCGGTGCGTACCATGTGGTGGCTACCGTCCATCACGTCCTGTACGTGTAGGTTGGTAATATCCAGGAGACGGGACGCTTGACGAAGAGGGCGCACGACGCGCTCGCTTTGTGTGCTGTGACGTAGGTTAAGGTAGATTTGATGAGAGATACCGCGCCGCACTCCATGCATAATTGTAACGATAGTTGCAACACGTCACCGGGTGGTGGTGGTGGTTTTTAGAAGGCTCCTTCTGACGCGCCCAAGCCAACGAAGCGCATTCTTCTCATGAAGCAAAGTATTTGCACGGGCGAAGATGACGCAGGATACTACGCCCCCCCCCCCCCCCCCC